GATAATTTGGCTACAGCGTAAAAAGTAAAAAAAAAAAAAAGAAAAATAAAAAAAAGAGTTCTGAGAACCAGGTTTTTGTTGCAAAATGTCGCTTTTCGATCCCCAGTTGTAACCAGAATGAAATTGAATATTCTAAAACCTTAAGCTTACTGCAGATCTACAGAACATCATCAATCATATACCAAAAGGTTACTTAGCTACTGCACAAAATGTTCGAGAAGTTGTTAGAACCTGGATTTTGTAGAAAAACTATATTCGACCCCGAGTTTAGGTTGGGATAAAAATGAAATTCTAAACCTAAATTCTAATTCTGGCACTAAAGAAAATTTATTATCATATTCCAAAAGGTGAGATGGCTAGTACATTAAATACAAGAGGAAATCTGGGAGCCAGGTTTTAGAAGAAAAACTAGAGTTCTAAAAGCATTTTTTTTTGTATGAAAAGAAAATCGTCTTTTTTCGACCCCCTATTGACCCTGATGTTGAAAATAAAATATCTGAAACTTTATTGCTAATCTACAGAACATTATCATTCGTATTCCAAAAGATGATTCGGTTCTCCGTAAAATGTAAGAAGAGTTTAGGGAACCAGGTTTTTAGTAGACAAAAATCATATTTCGACACGCGATTGGTCCCAGGAAATAAAAATGAAAACTCCGAAAACTTATTGCACATCTACAGGACACCATCAATCTTATTCCAAAAGATGGTTTGGCTACTGCATAAAATGTAGGAGTCTGAGGAAGAAGTTCGACTGACTGGGATAACAACAATAAACTTGAACCTTTTTTGGAAAGTTCGGGTATAATAAAACAGATCTAAAAAGTGAAAACAATAAATATGCATACCTTGTAAAACCAGTCATTATTTTCAGTGAGATAAGGAAAATTCTCTTCAACTCTTAAAGATTCTTTACTAGATTCTCTGAAGTATTTAAGTATTTTCAATATAATTTCCCCCTTGTTTCTTTCAGAAATTTTTGAGAAAATTTATTGAATTTCAACAATTCAATTCATTAAATTTCAAGTATACAAGTAGAATTAAGGTCGACAGTTAAGGATGGTAAATGAAACTAATCCCCTAGTATTACTCATTAGTATACCTATAGAGGGAGAACGAGTTCCAGTACATGTACTTGAATGTTTGTGATTTTCTAAAAATCAGATTCATTACTTTGAATTTAAAAAAAAAACATGTAAAAGGAGGAATTTGCTTCTTAAGGTCAAGATCTAGTAAATGAGTTTTGAGTGTCTTTTTGGTGTTGGATCAATTATGACGTCATAATTGATTTAAACTTACTTTTTCCCGTACTTTACAGCTATAACAGAATTATGTACAAAATGACACATTTTCATGGAATTCAATTTCAAATCATGTCAAAAGGAACCCTGTGACGGTACATATTGTCGTCGGCGACAGTATATACCTTCCCTCTCTGCACATATTGTCGTCCATCGGTACATATTGTCGCCGGCTGAAAAGTTACACATGTACATATTGTCGCTGGCGACATTATGTGCCTCACCCTCACTGTACATATTGTCGCCCCACAGATATTGTTGCTTAAACATTTCTTTTGTTGTTTTTTGGTAGTTTTGTAGATGTAATTGGTGTGTGAATCACACTGACGTGTCACATATTCTATTTCATGCAGTGTGATTCTGACGGTACATTTTGTCGCCCTGTTCATATTGTCGCCGGCGACAATGTGTACCTACCCTCACTGTGCATATTGTCGTCCATCAGAACATGTCGCAAGACAATGCACGGCATTGCCGTGAAGGTAGGTACATATTGTCGCCGACGACAATACGTACCGTCACAAACCCCGATACCTATATTCAATTTAATATCATTTTAAAGAAGAGGTCAAGAAGATATGAAAAGTCGTTTTCCTGAGAGACTGTGGGCAATATTGATACATTTCCTTTGTCTGAGATGGAGAAAACTCTCATTTTTATGCCCGCTTTTCTTCATTTTTCATTGAAAAAGGCAGTTTTAAATATGATTTTTCGTTTAGTTTATCTAAAAATTAGGTCCCGATACACCTTAATTTATTTAGCTATAATTGTAATAAATTATAAAAGGGGTTTGTTTCTCAAATTTGAGAAATCTGTAGGCACTCTTCATATACTAGATCTTGACCTTAAGACTGGGAAAGAGCCGTTGAAATCTTTCCAACTTATTTAATACACTTTGAAAAAGTTGACTCTCTTTACCCAATGCTTTTTGGCCTCTCTTTAGCCCTGACAACAATAACATCACATCAGAACATTTGAATACATTGCGTAGCAAACATATGAATATTTATCAACATACACATGTAGTTGCAAAACATAGACCATAAATATATCTAATTGGGAAACTCAGATTCACTTCTTCAATTTCAGCTATTTTAGTAGACCGTTTCAGAAATAGATATTAAGATTGAAATTTATCATGACGTAATTAATCCTAAAAGGCAAGATCACAAAGGTTGAACCAATAAGGCAATGGATATTCGAACTGAGTCCTAGAGTGTCTTAAGATTTCACTATTGTAATTTATGCACATAGACAAAGAAAACTTGTAATCAAACTAATAAGAGTCCCATGGGTCATAGCACTTACCTGAGTCAGATTGGTCCTATTTTCTTTTTCCGAATTCTTCCAGGAAAAAATTGATTGACCCCATATTGTGTCCCCAAACTCGCTCTAAGGGGTCACGACTTAACCAAACTTAAATTCAATATACATGTACTTGGGGATTCTGAAGATCAATATGCCTGATCTGGCCTTTCTGTTCTAGTCAGGAAGATTTTTAAATCGCTTCCCTGCATGCAGTCATTTACATTATTTAAAAGTTGAACATCCATTTATCTCATCCTACCCCAGTGCCCATAGTTCGATCAAACTTGAATCCAACGGCAAGGGAATTTTGTAATGAAATGGTACATGATCCAAAACATATTTCTTTCATCTCACTCGAATTAAAGTGGTTTTCAATACAAAATAATACGTTTCCAGTGGATAGGAAAAGGAAGCTCAGTTCAAAAGATTCATGCGCTAACATTAAAAACACAAGTATACAAGTACTTAGGAGTGCTAACATATAATATATTTGTATACTGTAAAATGACTTATTTTCGTAGGGCTCAAATTTTGAGTTCGTGGGGATTTGATTCCGTAGTTGAAGAAGGGTTGATTTGTTATTTATCTGAAATTTTACATTTCGCTGGGGACAAGAATTCGTCGGTCTCCTCATATACAATGAAAAAAAAACACGAAAATGAAACCGCCATGTTTACCAGATACTTTACATGTACATGTAATGTTATTTACTTCATCATTAATTAAAAGTAATAATATTTAGTAATAATTATTTTAATAATTAGTAATAATTATTGTTATAATTAATTAAAATAGTAGTGATATTATTGTGAGAATTGGCACAATGTATAGAAATATCCATTATATATATATATATATATATATATATATATATATATATATATATATATATATATGAAATCTAAAGAATAAAACTGTTTTGATTGTCGATTTCCAATCCGCATGTACATGTAGTATTCTGAGTGTTTCCCTTCCTTTATGTTCTCTAAATCAGCAATAAAGTCAACCATTTTACAAAATATTCTTTACATACACCTAACAAAAGTGTGTCTGTTCATACTATAATTATCTGAGTAGATGGTAATGAATAATCATATACTGAGTAATACAGGAAAAAATCGTGACATTTTATTAATTGGAATTATTTTCAGAAACGTGAATAATGAATTTTTTTTTGTAAAAAAAAAAAACAAAAAAAACAACAAAACAAAACCAACCAACCCCCCCCCCCCAAAAAAAAATACAACAAAAAACAACAACAACAAACAAACAAGAAAAAAAAACCCCATAAATATCTTTTTAAAAATACATCTCTACATTTGAAAAATCTTTCAATAGTATATATATTTTCTCTACATTCTGATTTCTTACTTCATTTAAATACCTGAATTTTATACATCTACGCGAATAGCTCCCAAATTGTCAAATATAATTTTATTTTCAACTTTCAAGATTTCTCACCACAAATTCAAATGATGCATTTTTAAAGTACTTTTCTTACTTAACAGATTCGTAGCCTATGTACCAAAAGAACAGTCATATAAATACAGGAAGTAGCATGTTAGTTCTTAGACTATTATTCTAAGCATAAAATTTGAACGGAAAAAGAAGTTTGGATTTCTTTTTGGAATTTTTAGACAATACAACAACTAAGAACAAACTTAATGCTACATTAAATAAGAATATGTTTGAACATCAATTAGACATAAAGAAGGCTGTGACAACAGAAAATCATAAAAATTCTTAATCCCTCCATTTTGTCATCCATTCAAGGAATGATCGCCAAACAGGCTCGATAATTTGCAAAATACTGAATGTATTATTAGTATATTTCTACTATTCTTGATTTTAGTTGTACTTTCTTGTATAACAACTTTGACAAATCCATAGCTTTCCTGTTCTTACCTATATATTCTTGTATTACATTGTACTTTAGCAAAATTCAGAAGTACATACTCATGTTGTGAGCTTCATGAAGGGAGATGGTGAATTAAGACTTCAGAACTTATGCCCAATTCCATTCTATAAATTTATTGCAATAAAATAAATTCAAATCAAAAACTGGACGAATCTAAAATTCATTACTAGAAAATGGTTCCATTATTTATATCATCTGAGAATCAGGTATCGTAAAAATGAAAAAAAAAACCCACAAAGAAATGATTTAAACTTGTTGCAATACTAGTACGTGACAAAAATAAGCAGAGAAAATGCACAAATATAAGTTAGATGTGTAAAAGACTCACCAGGGTTTACCTTTTTCTTTCATATGTAGTAATTATCTTGTAATATGTTATAAACAGTAACAGCAAAATTAAAACTTGATCCATACAGTATTAAGATCAGATTTCATAATACAAATAATAACAAAAAATGTGTGAGAAACATTTCATTCAACCCTTCCCAATTAACTTTTACCCGAAGTTGGACAAGGTACATTGTTTTGAACATCTGTCCATATCTGCCTTATTTCGGATACTGAATACCTATGACCAGATACTGCAGTTTTGTAGGAACAAGCTGTTGGGTCACGTTTAAGGTAAGTAAATTCTTGGAAATCAATGATATCCACTTTTGCAATAGTTCTACAGATTCCAGTTATGTATATGTCCTCCAGCCAAAATAAAGCTACTCTTTGTGTAACGTTATAAAGAGGCTCAACAGAGTCCCCAGACAACACGTACGCAGTTCCACTACAGTACGGTGGATAATAACGTTTTGAATACTCCTTTACAGAAGTAAACCATTTACTCTTTTCATCCCTTAGAGGCATAGCTCCATTTATACGCTTTCCTATGACAGCATTTGTGGGATTTTTATTCTTCAATATCGATATTAAATTTCTAATATGAATAAACATGTCGTCATCCGTTTTAAGTACATACTCGGCATCATTGCAGAACTGAGAAACCCATCTCAAAAGAGCAACAGACTTAATAGAGAGATTCCTGTAGGAGTCGATGAAGTCTTCCTGAATAATATCATGGTATTGTACACTTTCTACAATGACCTGAGTTTGAATGGTTAAATTTTGTGGATTTCCCAACAGAAACATGATTTTTATGGAAGGGTCATATTCCGCCACTGATCCCCAGGTCTCCCTTATCGTTTGTCTTTGTTCCGAATTTGCCGGTGAAACACAGACAATGACAAGCAAGAAAATATGTTCGTCTTGACAAGCCTCGGATTCAGAGATCAAGTAGGAAAAGTTATGCTCATTAGAACTAAATTTGTAGTCAATGTCTTCAAGTCCCAAATTGTTGGGATTAATATTCTTTCTGGTGTGAATCTGGTTCTTTCTGTCTGTGTATCTTATCGACAAAAATACCATAAACAATGTGACGACACAAACTATAATAAAATAGACGAGTCTTAACATCATGTCACAAAGAAAATCCTTATTTGCATGCTGATTTCTCCTGGATAATCCAATCAATAAAAAGTATAATCCTGAAAGTTTGCTTTCTTAAGTATTTTCGGTCACAGAACACTCCGTTCAGAACACGTGTTCAATATATAAAATTACCTTGCAAGAAGACAAAACAAGATAAGTTTACCTGTGGCGGATAAATACATAGGTTGACAACTGCAAAGCGGCGTCACAAAAACACACTCATATAAACAATGCGCGTGTGGTACAATGTATTACACGTGTATCTAGCCATAGGCTCTTTTCCATGCTATTATTAGGAGGGTTTTTTTTTTTTTTATAGATTTTGTTAAGGTTTATTAATTAAAAACTGTTAAGCTTTATTTCAAAGAATTTAATCGTAAATCGTAAGTTTTATCCAAAAGTTTTTACCAAAAAAGACAAACTAAATTATTTGTTTATATAACTTTGGTTATTATTTCATGTTTTATACTCTACTGTCGGAAAACAATGAGAGCTTTTCTACTGATAAAGTGTACTTTATCTGTCCGTCTGTCTGTAAACAGTTTTTTCCTTCAAAATTCCACCCCTCAGCTTTGTTCCACTTTAAGTAAGATTTTTAAGCAAAAAGTTCTATTCTTACAGTTGCTGAATTTTGAACGAAAACATTAAGATAAATTATTGTTTAAAAAAAGTCAACATCAACTTTTTTTCTCACACTGTTATTATTGCAGATCATTAGAAGTCCATTAAAAACTCCTGATTTATACATAGAACACTATATATATATATATATATATATATATATATATATATATATATATATATATATATATATATATATATATATATATATATATATATATATATACAAAGCACTAAAAATGACCAACGACACGAACAATAATAATTGTCAAATTTTCGGGACGACCTGCCCCTTCCTCAGGACAAAGAAAAAGTTAAGAAGTCATAAAAACAAAGGAAATAGAGAAACAAAAACAACTAGCACTACTACTAAACTACCAAACACTAAATATTTACAGTGTTACATGTTTAATTTTAAGTTAATAAACAGTCGTGAACAAAAAAATCCGGAGCGCTTTGAATTGCGTCCGGTCTATCGGGTGAACTTTGGTGAAGTGCGATTTACATAATTGAACGAATTAATTATCGCTAATTAATTACGACAAGCAGTAAATCGTACATTGTCTTATTCTCTCAAAATAGCGTACCTATACATGATAAAAAGAAATTAAAGAAAGATAATATGGAAGGGCAATTTTAAAAATATGAATTTGGATATATTATAAATTTGGAGATCGGATAAAAGAAATACACAGAAATGTAAGCTGTAAATATCTGGGTAAGTTGTTCCAGAATTGCTAATGCGAATTAACGGTAAAGTTTACACTATATAGAGAGAATGAACTTGTTTGTTACAATCCGGGATTGGGTCTAGTTCACGTTCATCCTGGTGAAGTCATTAAGTTTGTTAATGCCATCAGGGCGGAATGACTTCAGCCTGTGCATCCAGAACCTTTCCTTGCCTTTTCTCTGAACGTCTGTCCATCTTGGATTATGGCCAATAACCTCTACTGTCATGTCCTCCCATTTGTGACCTTCAAGGTTGAAATGTTCCCCTACGGGTTCATTGAGTTTTTTGGTCCTAATGGTAGAACGGTGATTATTGACTCTTCTGTTGTACAATGCCCGCACCGTACAAACTGCTATTGATGAGATGGCGGGACATGACAGGCACAATCTAATATGCTACAAGGAAAAAGACAATAGCGGCAGGGTCCCTCTGGTAACCACATTCCATCCCGTCCTTAAGAACCTTAGCGGTATCCTTCAAAAAAATTGCCAATTCTCCACTCAAATACACGAATGGCAGAGGTCTTTAAGGAGCCCCCATTGGCTGCATACAGACGCCCGAGGAATCTAAAGGACATGGTAGTAAGAACCAGATTGGACAATCCATTACCTAACGGGGGCTTTAAAACTTGTTCTGACAGAAGATGTCTTCTCTTTAAGCACAGCTCTGACACAGACAGCTTTAACAGCCCCGTTACAGGCCGCAGCTACAAAATACTAGGGAATTTGTCCTGTCAAACAGACAACTGCATTCATCTCATCAGTTGCAAAGTTTGCTCCAAACAGTATGTTGGTGAAACAGGAGATCTCCGCAGAAGAGTCAATAATCACCGTTCTACCATTAGGACCAAAAAACTCAATGAACCCGTAGGGGAAAATTTCAACCTTGAAGGCCACAAATGGGAAAACATGACAGTAGTGGTTATTGACCATAATCCAAGATGGACAGACGTTCAGAGAAAAGGCAAGGAAAAGTTCTGGATGCACAGGCTGAAGTCATTCCGCCCTAATGGCATTAACAAACTTAATGACTTCACCAGGATGAACGTGAACTAGACCCAATCCCGGATTGTAACAAACAAGTTCATTCTCTCTATATAGTGTAAACTTTACCGTTAATTCGCATTAGCAATTCTGGAATAACCTACCCAGATATTTACAGCTTACATTTCTGTGTATTTCTTTTATCCGATCTCCAAATTTATAATATATCCAAATTCATATTTTTAAAATTGCCCTTCCATATTATCTTTCTTTAATTTCTTTTTATCATGTATAGGTACGCTATTTTGAGAGAATAAGACAATGTACGATTTACTGCTTGTCGTAATTAATTAGCGATAATTAATTCGTTCAATTATGTAAATCGCACTTCACCAAAGTTCACCCGATAGACCGGACGCAATTCAAAGCGCTCCGGATTTTTTTGTTCACGACTGTTTATTAACTTAAAATTAAACATGTAACACTGTAAATATTTAGTGTTTGGTAGTTTAGTAGTAGTGCTAGTTGTTTTTGTTTCTCTATTTCCTTTGTTTTTATGACTTCTTAACTTTTTCTTTGTCCTGAGGAAGGGGCAGGTCGTCCCGAAAATTTGACAATTATTATTGTTCGTGTCGTTGGTCATTTTTAGTGCTTTGTATAAATTTCCATCCGTGACCTTGTATCTACTTAGTAGATCCGACACTTAGGATATACAGTGTTGTTGGCTTTTAGTGCTTTATATATATATATATATATATATATATATATATATATATATATATATATATATATATATATATATATATATATATATATATAAGGAATCACTGTCTAGTTAGTAGAGTATGCCAGGGCATCAACGATAGTTAGAAACGTTGGATACTTTGCATTTGCCGTTATGCATAAATTATCCCACGTTTCCAACTATCGTTGATGTCCCTGGCATACTCTACTTACTAGACAGTGATTCCTTATATTTCCATTTTATTTTGAAATAAAATTGTAAATTTAGATTTTAAAAATGTAGACTAATAGATTTAAAGCGACAGTACGGCTGCAAAATGTGTGCTTTTTCATTCAAATTTACCCAATATATCATTAAGAAATAAGGTATAAAGTTGATGTAAGCAGTTTGAGAAACAGAAATATTCTCTACTCAAATAAAATTAACGTAATTAGAATCTGCCGGAAAATCAAGGGTCGTACGAACTGGAGCAATCTTAGATCTGTTTATTTGTACCACGTGAATTCTAAAACAACACGTGCCTACACTGTGTAGTTTACAATTATAATGAATACTAGGTAAAAGCAATTTTCAAAAGCTATTATCATAACTTTCTGATAAAATAATCTAAAATAATAATCGTAAAGATTTTAGTTTGTATTCAGGTGAATTTAACAGAATTAAAAGTACAAATATTGACGTTTTGTGTATTGGGGTCCAAGAAAGGAAAAACCAATCAATCATGCGTTATCGCGGCAAATGTCAAAAAAAAAAAAAAAAAAAAATTGCACAGTTAAAAAAATTAGCACTTCAAATGGCAACAATGTTTATAAATCAAATGTGTATTTTTATGTTGAGTTTACACTAATTTTTTTTTTCTTTGAAAGCGATGGAAAAATGAGAAATGATAACAAGTGTCAGCGGGTCTTTTGTAGGATATATAATCCAACACTGGATTCGGCACAACTATATTTATTTACTGTGCTTATAACAAAAAACCTATAAAGTATAAATTAAACACACTCTCACAACACAATACACACATAAAACGAATACTTTACATTTAACATCAGACATTACAACACATAAATTATATGATTGTTCGCTGTCGGGATTAATTAATAAAAGTAAATTATAAAATACATTTATATAATGATTATAATAAAGGTAAACAGAAAGCTTACCAGGAATCCAGTTAAATTAACTCCAAGTAATACTTTACAGAATACTTATGTTTCAAATACATGTACAGACTTCTACCGTAAAGGCAAAAAGCGTGGGGGGTCGAGATTTGGCGGGTACTACGTTTATATACTCGGTGCAGAAATTAAAACATGCATATTAATAAGAAAAAACAGTCGATTGTTGGTCAGCTGTAAGGTCACATTAGGTCACCTAACCGGAAACACGTGGAAATACAAAAATAAACAATGTCACATGATCTCCCAAAACATTCACACAAGATACACGACACAAACAAACGCAGCGAACGCATTCGATTGGCAATACGCGCCAATTTTATGTACAAATTAAAACACAACGTCTGTGACACAAGTATCAACAAACCTGTCGAATAGAACCTTTGAGAGCCCTGCACGAGTGTCGCTAAGTTCCCGTTTCTTCCTTATCCAGCGACTATATTAATCCCCAAACTAAATTTTAGTCAGGAAAGTTGTTTTTTCAAGTTCTATTTTCAGTTTCTTTTTCTTTTTGGTCGACTTTGTCAATAGCAGGCCTACCGGGCTTCCCTCTTTAACCATGCTATTTTGTTTATGAAAACTACGCATGCGTGGATAGCCCGAAAATTTGACAATTATTATTGTTCGTGTCGTTGGTCATTTTTAGTGCTTTGTATAAATTTCCATCCGTGACCTTGTATCTACTTAGTAGATCCGACACTTAGGATATACAGTGTTGTTGGCTTTTAGTGCTTTATATATATATATATATATATATATATATATATATATATATATATATATAT